TATCTATTAATGAAATCAAAGAAGGTTTTATTTAAAATGTCTTGGGCCATATTTCCTTCTAAATATCCCCAATAATAAGCACTCTCTGCACTACCTTATGCTCGTCAATCCCTCGATAAACATAATATTCAGTGGATTTCTCAGCTTCTACTTGATCCTTTGAAGCTGATCGATGTATCTGCTGAAGTAGCTAAGATACACGTTCATAGGACTGGTTACCTTTTCACTGCTGGTGCAGAAGGTCCCTTCAGGAGTCTGCCCTATTGCGTACAGGCCAAAATTATAACATGCAAGAAATAGATCTTCTAGCTCCGTCTGTAAAGACATAGCGAACCAAATATTAAGCTATTTTAGCCTAAATGAAAGGCTAAGAACGCTAAAACTACATCATCATTAGGATTATTGTACCAACTTGTTTATGTGACCATCTAAGGTCTGATGGTTACCTTGGAATTCGTCCGGCTCTTATACGCGTGGGCTGGCCTTCGGGCCTAGCTCAGGCTTAATACCTGGAATCCATGTATTCAGCTCCATGTAATGCCCCATTCCACCCGATGGGAAGTCTCGGGAAGCTACAATCATCGACCTTGGCTCTTTAAATAAATAATTAATTATTAGTGTGGTTAACATTAACTTATTCTTACTTTTGCCTCTTTAAATCCTTCATTATGGTATGGACAAGTAGTGTCGTCAGGATTATTCGGAGTGTGTTATAGACAGATGCACCATTTCAACAAAATAATTTGCATCATTGACTATGTAATTCCTTGCTACTTGCCGTGAGATTGTTATTAGTTGGTAATAAGGGCAGTACCAGTATATAAATAAGAAGAAAGGGAAGCATACCTTTTTTTTAAAGTCAGCAAGGCCCAAATAGAAACCAAATAACTCTGCGCCATAATTTTGATTCGTTAGCGGTTCGAGGCCTGTTTAGCCCTTTTGCGCTGTCACCACTGCTTCCACATTGCGTGTTCTCTGGTTTACCTACTTCCAACGAAATCTTCAGAATATCTTTTACTTAGTTGGCTTCTTTTCATATCATTCATGGATTGATGAATCTGTATTCTCATTCCCGGTGTACAAGCATTGCCTTTCCCTTGTGTTCAAAACCCCGTCCAATCGAATAACTGTGTATTTGGATTCAAAATGTTTATTTCCGAACTCATTGATCAGAAAATGATTTGCCATTTGATATCTATTATGAAATCTAAATGCTGCATTGACGAAATGCATTCTGATATTTGATCCAGCACACTCTTGATTCATGTCATGTTGTTTCATACCTAGGTGCTGCACTAAATTACTTACCTGGATTACTCCTATCATTTCTTTGTAAATAACACTACTTTCAGAAGTCGATTAAACCAACCATTTTTGCTCATCTTTAGATGTCTGACGAGAGCAGCGACGAAACATTTGCTAGCGCTGACGAGGGTTCAGGCAATGAATATTCTTTTATGAAATCACCCCATGTGGTAATTTAAAAATTAGTGCCTTTTAAAGTCGGGTATAGTATTCGAACTTAAAATTATTAAAATACCTTTAGGATCCGTCAGGACATGATCAAGATCTTGTTCCTTCCCTTGTTGATGTTATCCCTACGAAAAACTCAAATTTAACCAGAGACAATCAACCCAGCATTGTTTGTGACGAAGGGGTGCTTGTGAGTGTTTCGAATCAAAAGGACACTGAGGCTGGTATCCACGAATTTGCTCCGCCTTCGACTCCTTGTGATATCAACCAGGAAGAAGTTTTGCAATGCCATACCGAAGCTACTGCCTCCGATGATGTAACTTATCCCTTTCTCAATTTGGAGGAAAAACCCAAAAGCGTAGTGACGAACTTTGGTGAAGTCATTAAGGCTGAAGGGCTACAATTTAAAGATGGCGAACTGGATGTTAACAAGAATACCGAAGCTCTGGATCCGAAGGACAATCTATGCGTGGATCCTGAGCGGGCGAACACTAGGACTTTAATCGAGTTAACTGAAGCTTCCCCGTATGCGATAGAATCTGGAGATTCGGTCGATAGGACTCATTCGACGATGATTGGAGACTCAGTAGCCACTAACGTGGCAGACGTGTGGGACTTGGATGATCTGTGGGAAAGTTTGCAAACATCAGATACTGGAGTTGCTTCAAGCGAGGTTGGAAAAGCTTCGTCAGATGATGTCGAAAGTCAAGATCGCGTGAATTTAACTGATTCGAAAAAGGTTGTGGAGTCGGCTTCTGGTAATAAAACAGACTGGTGGAATAGGTCGATGGATGGCTCACAGCCAATTTTTCCAGCATTGGATTCTGAAACTTGTCCAATGATGATCACCGAATCCCAAGGTCCAAGAGGATTCCTTTACTCAGAGAAGGTACAAAAGAAGTGTAAAGACTCAAAAACCAGTGAGGATGGGGTGTGGGGTTCGGGAGCCGACCAGTGGACTGGTTTGAAGTCATCTAAAGCAGAAAATTCCTTAACCGTCAATTCCGAAACTGTTCCCACCGTAAGTATTCAGCAGGAAAAACGCTCCTTTGAAAGTGAGGTGCAAGGGAAGATCTCAGGCCCATTGTCGGTTGAAGAAGTGGACGCTTGGGATCTTGAGGATGACCCTTGGCTATGCTCAGATCCAACAGAGCCAGATACCTGTTTGGTTCCAGACACCGCAAAGAACTGTGGCACTGTTTCCACGCCCAAGGTCACGAAGGCTGGTTTGAGCATGAAGGTGGAGGAGAGTTGGGGCAGCGTGGAAGACTTTCAGACGAAAAGGTCAACCGTAAATGCATCACAGGAGCTGGCATCCGCTGCCACAGCATTAGTCAAGTCAGTGGGTGGTGGGCTGGCAAGTTTTGTAGGGAGTTTCAAGCTTTCCAATCTTTCCTCCACATTTGCGGCTTTCGAAGAGAAGTCGTTGACAAAGCCGGTAGGGGATGAGCAGCAACAAAAATCGCCACAGCCTGAGGCTTCGAAAAATCCCGGTGATTACGGTGTTGGCTCTACTCCTGAAGGCGATGAAACCAATGGTGGCTGGGGTGGTTGGGACTTGGGCTCGTTGGCTAAATCACTCACGTCGACAGTTGAGAATACGGTGGGTTAGAAAATCCTTTTTCATTTCTTTGTGCAATCCTTTGCCGTCTAATTCTCAGTATTTGGTCTATGATTATTGTGCATTTCATTTAATCCGTATACCTTCGACATTCGAAGTGCGACTTCGCTGTTTCTAGACCTTCAAGAAGAGTGCAACCACTTGGTTATTTTTGTTGCGCTTAACTATAATCTTACTTAGTTCTTGAGGTAGCTCATGGCAAAAGTTTTTTGTTTATTTTGGATGTACTCTAACACGAATTATTTTCCAACTGCTTTTATCCGTCCCATTTGGATTTCGTGGAGAAATCCATCAATTTCGAGTTTGATTATTTTCGATATGAGCACTTCTAACACCTGGTGTAAATTACATTTTTGAATCTTTTAAAAATTCATTCCTGTTGTTTCGGTTTTACCTGCTTATGAAAGCCCTTTGTAACTTTTTTTAAGGACGAATGGAAAAAGTTATGCGGGTATTACATCGACCTGATGTTGTGTCTCCTTTAGTTAAATTCTGGTCTTGTATCGCTGGAGGGCCAGTATTAATGCCTTTTTATGAAACTTTGAGGCTGATAACAAGCATTTAAGTTGTAAGAGTTTCGTTTGACAATTGACTCGTTAGTGCCGGTTTGTTATTTTATCTACGTTTCTTCTTCTAAAGCACGCATATAGAGCTGGATTAACTGAGAATTCCAAACGTTGAACTGAAGCCATACTCCAGGCGCTATATGTTACTTACTTTCGCCTAATTACAGGTCAATCAGTATGTTATAACTATGATCCGTTTGCACAGACTGTGATTGTCCGTAGGCTGGTTGGTTGCTTTGTAGGGTCTGCAGATCATTCACGGTGGCGTTGATGTGTTGGAACAAATTGGACGGAAGACGTTTACTGCTCTGAAGGAGAACGATCCAGGACTGGCTTACACAAAGAGCTTCCTTCGGCCCACCAATGACAGTCAAGGCTCGAAACTGTCTCAGGTAATCATGTTTGTAGGCGATTTTTTTGCGTAATCTTTTGCTTGGATATGGAATCTAGCTGCGTCAGACCTTTTTTATTTACTAATCTCGATTCATTTCATCCTCACCTTTTACCCTCACCTGTTTTGGTGTTCTAGCCACCGTGTGAGGGGATTCATTTATTTGTTTTTTATGCATGAGAATGCAGTTCTACTTTGTAATTGAAGTCATGCCTTCTAATTTGTTTTTGAAATGCGAAATCGAGCTAATGGCAGGTAACTAGTGGCCCTATTGGTTTTTTTGCTTTTGTAAAAATATTGCTAGTGGGTTTCCCAGATTCCCAAAAGTCGTATAATGCACCCTTACAGTGGTGTTAGCGTTACTTTTCGAACATTTTGATGAGCGGTGTGACTGCATCTAATCCCATTAAAAATCAAGTGGTATTAAAAGAACCTTCGATAAAAATAATGGAAATGCATCTGAAGCTCGGCTAATTGCTGCTGCATATAACAAGAATTGTGGACTGTGGTAGCTCGGATGCATGCAGAGCCTCAGTTGTCCCTATTTTGATGTACTTTGTGTGAGCACTTGCAGTGTCGACATGTTCGGCACTAACATATGGAAATGTGCTGTCGAATACATTTGCTATTATGGTGTTTTGCTAGGTTTAACGCCACAACTTCTGCTGTGTCTGAAGACAATTTGAGATGGGAATGGCAAGCATCTTCTTTAATGTACTTAAAGAATGGTTTAGTTGGGTTTCTTGCAACTATAATTCGTTGTACGTTTAATAGGGTCTTGGTAATGGTAGTTGTAACTGATAATACATTTAATACGACTTTAATTTGCACTTCTGCAGGTAATCTGGCAACTTACATGAATGCTCAAACTCTTATTTGACATGCCTTCTTTGCCCCGCTTCCAGATGCTGCGCGAAGCCTGCGACCAACACGCTGCACAATCTGACGAATTGCTCGCCGGCCAATTAGAGGCGCGTCGTGGTGATTTAGCCTTTCAATTGGAATCGCGTCTCGCTCTTGTGCACATGGAAGCCTTGGAATTGCTCAGTTCTCGTGCTTCGGCACGCCTGGGCACGAAGTTGGCTCGACTGGAAGCCCCCCATAACATCGATGACGTAGAAGAATATCATCGCAGCGTTCGTAGTCTTACTGGGGAAGGTGGTGTCCTTGAACGCATTTGGCAGACACTTCAGCTGAAAAATCAAGAGGAGGAGGAGGGAGAAGAGAGGGGAGCAGGAGAAGGCAATTCTGTTTCCACAACTGCTATTGTCACGGCGGTAGCAGCATTGGAAGTGGTGACTCCTGGAAGTGCTCTCTTGAAGGTCTTTCTAATACGCATTTTGATGTTTTAGCCTTTGTAAATGATGATTCATTGTTGGTGTTCTCTGTGGTCCAGAAATGCGAGGAGGTTCAGCAGAAGTGCGAGCATTTTGATCCTAGCCTACCAATGACAGTAAGTCGTTGTCATGGTTTATGGTAATAGTAGCTTATCACTCGTGGGTAGGTTTATGTACAAACGGGTAATTAAGGAAATGCGAATTGATTTGTGAATTTACCCTGTTTTCACTCGCTTTGGGGGTTGTGAAGAAATGCATCTTTTGAGTTGAGACCTTCTTTTACAGTTCTGCAGCTCTCCCAATTTGTTTCTTTGTTAGGAGATCTTTTATCAAGCCGTTGAAGGATTGGCAGACTTGACGTCGGTGATCCTGGCTTACCTTCATAAATTGGCCGAGTGTCTTCTCCTTCTTGGTCCAAATCGTGAGCGATTCAACGCCGGCTTCCTCGACATAGCTGAGAAAGTTGCCAGGTCTGTCCCTTCTTACCAAGTGATAGTAGCATGAATATGGCAGTATCCCATCGCTTTGCCATTTTTGCCTATTTGGGTACAGTGTGTTAATTTTTTTACCACTTTCTGGTATTTTTCCAACTTTGCAAGCCAAAAACATTTTCATTGATGTCATTATTAGTGGCGTTTGAGCGTTATCGGCGTTCAAACTTCTAGAGAGTGGGAATATCCTTGTCATGATTGGAGATGTGAATTTAATCCATTACATTTGACTGCAGCAGACGCACTAAATTTTCCCTTCTCCCATTTTAGTATCATCACTGCGGCTAAAAGACGAAATGATACCCTCTGTTCGGCGTATGTTGGGCATTTGAAGAGGGTGAGTCTCGCCTATACCATTGCATCATCTTCCTTTTTGGATTCTTTTGTTTTTAAAGAGATTTTGAATGGCTATGTGAACAGGTTTGGTAAGACTTGCTAAATCTATTAGGGCTTGTGTAGAAGAGATGCCTAATGTAGTTCCACAGAATTTCCAGCATGGCTTGCGGTTAATGTGATGGTTTCGAGACCAGCCCATAGGGCAGAGGTACAATGGTACAGCAATTGTGCGCTCCCTTTGCTAAGGCCTCGAGTAAAATAAATAACCAAGGCATTTCACACTCCTTCCCCCTCTCGAGCGTCAGTTTCGGTTCCTCTTTGTCGGCTACTACAATGTGGTTAGTACTGTGAGGGGCAACACCCACGCCCCATCCAACTCAATCATCACTTTACTGATTCGCCTTGGCAATTCAGTTGAATTTGGTGTTTCTTCGAACAGAAGTACTGAACTTGAGAGTGGGGGACATCATGGTTATTATACTTATCCATAGTTAACCCTCCTACCACTGGTTTTCCTGGAGAGTCAAGTAATGTAAAACAGGCTTGGACTTATTCTCCTGTAAGCGGCGTTTCTCCTGAAGGTCTCCTTTTCACACTGTTCTCACTTTAAGGCTTTGCAGTTTTTTTTTTCAAATTCGATTTATGGACACAAGAATCACACAACTTCTTAATGGATTTTTTGATAACTTATGACTGATATCGCTTCATTTGTCAGTAGCATCCCTGCAGATCGCAGAGCTGGGGTTGCTGTCAAGAGTAGGTGTCACTTTTAGGCCTTCGCTTAGGAAGCGTCACTGATCTTTCTATTCGCAGCATTTGTATTCCTTTTACCTTGTCAACTTTTGTCGTTTAACAGTGAAAGCCTGATACATGCTTTTTAAATTTGTAGCCGCTTTATGCTGCAACTGATGTGGTGCCTTGCAAGTTTCAAAAGGCGAAAGAGCCGTAATGCTGATGCTTGGAAAATGCTAGGATGAAATGCTATTTGGCGTGATGTCACTTTGAGTTTGAGGGTACTAGCCAAAGTTGTCGCTGTAAACACGAAATGCCATCCTGGGATGATACTGACTTTTTGTAGGAAAGTAACTGACTATTTTTGAATCCATTGCTTGTTAGTCTCTGTAATAATTTTTGCAGGAAGATTGTAAACTTCAACATGGTTGCCGATTTACTCGTCTCAGGACGATCATTGTTTGAAACGCTAAATTCCTCCAATACGAGGCTTGAAATTCAGCCGATGAGATCAAAGCTACTTCCTTCTAGCACAATTTTGGTTCCTTATGAAGATCACTCCTTTTTCCGGTGGAAATCAGATATTTGGACTCGGAAAACGCTTTGGTAAAAGTGAGCAAATGATCCATCAATTGGGCCTTATCGGAGTACTCGTATGGTAAATGAGACTTAAGTGATGTAGAGGGTGAGCGGCAATGCGTGCAAACACTCCCTCCTACTTTACTTCACTTTAAGGCCATTAACTTTTTAATCTCAGCAAGGTATGGACAATGAAGAGAATTACTTTTTTTACTATTCAGGCGGCATCAGACATGAGTACGAAGGAGGAAGTAGGTGCTGAGGGAGCACTGACGACGAATCGCCGACTTGTAGCAAACCTCTTTTTGGAGACAGGAATGGCAAACGGCTACCTAGACGACGCAGCATCAAACTACCTTGTACCAGTCCTCCAAATTGCCTGTCTGGAGGCCTTCTTTCCGGAATCGACGTCGACACCAGCGTCATGCCACCCACCCTCGTCAATGAAAGTGAAGCAACGTTGACGTCGAGAGTGACGTTGACAAGACGTTGGAGACCAAGCTGTCTTTCTACCTGGCATTTCTTTATTCTTTACTGTCCTTGCCTCTAAATTATCAGGTTTTCTGGAGATACTGTCAACTTATAAGTGCATGATTAGCTGTCTTTCTGGCTCGTAAGGAAATAAAAAGCTTGAAACCGATTGCCATCAATACAAGTATTACAATCACCGGAGGGTGATATTTTTTTTTTTCAAATTGTCTTCATTTTGGCGCATCGGGGGTCTCAAGTGTCAATCGAATCGGATTAGCTGTCCGCTTGGTCATCCTTCTGCCAGGTGTGCTTTTCATTCACCTAAGTACGTACTTTTGCTTCTCGTGACGTTGCAATGAAGGACTGTCGAATTTGTTGCGTGCAAGAGGACTGCTCTCGATGGTAAGTCTTGACTGTGCTTGTTCATACTAAAGTAGTCGACCTTAGTCATTTGCGAGAGTAGGGCCCAAACATGTAACGGACTTCGTTGGTAATACATTTCCATTACTAATAATCATGACTTCTACCTCAATACCGACAAAACAGCAATTCTTTGACCAAACAAAGCACACAGATGCAAGAGTGGGGTTCATTCAAAACACATGGGAACAAATGAAAGCATAGATTATACATAGAAAAATACTTGAAAAGAAAGTCTATCGGTTTTTCTTACGTCGCCGTCTTCGTGTCGGCTCGGCCACAGTCAATGCACTCTCAGCCAACTCTCCCGAGGTAATCTGGAAGTACAGAGTACAGGTCCACATTTCTGATCCAGTTAATCTGGATTACGGCAATGAAGCATAAAAGGTACTACACTTAGACCTTGCAGTTCCGTAGCACAAATGCGCATCACAAAACAGATGCCCGAATTTATCACGAATCGAGAAGTGGCAACTACTCCATATGCCAAATTATTTGTCCCAAACAGCACTGACCAGCAGTCACAATGGACTGAAAAATGCTCAAACAAAAACACCGTAGAGAGGTGAAAGTGCCTCCTGACTTTCAAATCGCCTTAATGGCCAAAATTGGGCAGATGCAGGAATGGAAGATTGGCGCTATTTCTAAGCACCCCAACCACTTACATCGTTAGCCACGGAGGCCTCAGCAATCTTGTCTCGCAGTTCAAGGTTTAGCAACACCTCACGCATCTCCTCCTGAGCACGCGCCAGTTCCGCCTCTGCTTGCTTAGCTCGCTCCTGCCATGCTGCCTGACTGGAGGAGAGACCCGCAATCAGTGCCTTCTCTTCCGACAACTCTGCTTGCATCCTTTGTACCGACGCGGTGCTCTGCAAGGAAGCATAATTTCAACAAAGCAAATTTACAAACCGCTATTTTTGATCGATCAGGTCGGATCAACTACTTTACTAGCAATCGTTGAATGTCCATTCTTTGTTAGCATGGAGGTAATGGGAAAGTCCTTGGTGTGGCATTTTGGACTGAGAAGCAGTGCAAAACAGATAACCATAACACTTTACTAGGACATCGAATTCTAGATAAAAGAGAGAAACAACTATATAGTGCCCAGCCGACTAAACATCGCCGGGAAGTTATACTGCAAAAACATTGACTCGAAGGGCTAACAGAACCAATTATATATGCTACCACCCAATGAAACAAAGTATTTGAGATAAATAAGTTACAACACAGCACCCTACAGATTGCTAGCAGATCTGGTGCCCCGTACTCGCATATAGGCAGGGCCGATAACGTTATAACAAACCCTCAACATATCGAAAATGATTCCTCTGATCCCAATTGATAAAGCATCCGAGTAAAAATTTTTACGAACCTCAATTCATCGGACAAATTTAAACAAAACTTTTTGAGGGATTAAGCGTGGCAAAGCATTCATGTGATAGTTCCTAAAATAAGCCACGTTTTGAATCTCTAAAGTGAGATTAAAATATGTAAAATGTAATGAGTACTTGTAAAATAGGAAATTAAGGGTCAAAACTACGTTTCTAAACAATATGCCATATACTCACCTGTGCAAGCTTATGGGCAATCAGATTCCTTTCCTTCATCACAGCGGCCAGCTTTGTCTCCATCTCAGCAAGACAGGCCTTCGAGCTCTCAAGATCATTCTCAATGGCGCAAATACGGGCTGCTGACTCGCTGGTTATTGCCTCCAATTGAGATTCAAAGTATTGTCGTTGAGACTCCAGCTGACTGACTAGTACTGCGCTGAATTCCATGCACAAACCATCTGCTTTCTTGTCCCCTGTTTCACCACCCTCGCCCACCTGCAATAAACAAGTTCGTTTAGTTTAAAATGGACATCGAGGTGACTAACCTGGACCAACTTGCCGTCATCATGATTGACAGCAATTCGATGAACGTAGACATCGTCTGCGTAGTCCCACACCATATTCTTACCAAGTTCCAAGGCAAAAGTGTGACCAGTTTTTTCGAAATGATGATAAGCATGTTTATGACCGTAGCGACCACAACCGAGGTTACCGCAAATAAGGCATATCCATAGGTTGTCTCTTAAATCGCAATCAGCACACTGACTATCCTCTTGCATTTCAGGTGATTGCACGTACCGACAGACTGGGCATCTAATCAACAAAAAAAAGATTGGATACAACCTTCCGATCTGAACAGATAATGCGGAACTAGACTCAGAGAGCACTTACACAGTATCCGTTGTTTTAGATATGCATTGGTCATGAAATGAATGATTGCAAAGAATTGTTGTAAGGATGCCAGCAACTGGCTCATCCTGTAACAGGACTGAATTATGTGGTTAAACGAACTTACTAGCTTTTCAAGACATACTGGGCAGGATGGCAACTCAACCAGACCCTTTAAGGGAAAAGAGGCACCACAAGAACCATTTGAAGTCGTAGTTATAGCTTCAACATGTGACACATAGGTCAGCTGACAGACATCGGGTTCAAAACTGTTGTATGAACTACCATTGAACGTGGCATAAAATTGGTCGGCATCGGTCTACATGGGACATTAAAGCATGGAAGTGACGTACAGTAGATTTGAATTTGAGAAGAGCCATGTAGTGTCCAATTAGATGACATCTGACAATTTTCAGCTCAGTAATGCCTTTACTATTCAACGATTAAGGAGCAATGTAAGGAAACCTCATAGGTGCAATAAAATCCAGAAGATCTTTTACTGTGATACTGCACGGGATACCTAATATACAAAGCATCTCAGAGGACTGCCCCTTCTTGGAAGATGCTTTCGAAGACCTAAAGAAAGGTTTACCGTAAAAAGAAACAACTTTGTAAATATATGCACGATTCCCTCCGTCTGTTCATTTAGTGGGTTTCCAGAAATAAACTTGATATCGTCGGTCTTTTTCCACGCGTTCGGCATATCTAGCTGATAGCGGAGACGTAAATAGGGCAAACTTTTAAGAGTTGTTATGGTGTAAGTGGAAAACTTCCTAGAACCTAGGTAAATCGCAGTAGTGGTATTCGAAGTGCTAGAATTTGGGGCTACTATATCGTCCAAAAACGACGAAGCTAGCAAACTGAAAAGTAGAAGCAACCTATACCGGAGTAATACAAGCTTTCACGGAGTTTTGGAGTCTTTTCATTAACCAAAATTATCACTGCACACCGATCATCTGACTCCATCAAGACCAAACATACCCAAATTTGACGACTTGCAAAACTACCAATCAGTTCTTTCGCTCATGACCTTGACAAGCAACAAGCACACTAAATGCGTGGTGCCTGTTTTAGCGAATGTCACGGAATGGAAGCAAAGTACTTTAATTCTAAATCGATTTTATGTAAGGAATTTTTTAATAATTAGCGGTTATTTTGCCTTTAAGCATTTCGCGTTTATAACAAAAGGGAGTACTGTTTTACCCGCTTGGCAAATGTCCGTAGCTGCAACGGTAACTGTTGCAGTAGACACATCAGCAGCAATCGAAAGCAACAAATACTTTTGTAGCGTCCCGAGGCTTTCCATAGGGTGAAATAAGGCAAAAGTGAGGTTGAATACATGTATTCTCAAGGCGACAGGGCAAATGGGGCCTGAGCGTGGTCCGAAGGCCAGCTCACGTGTACAGGAGCCAGACAAATTCCAAAGTGACCGCCAACCGTCAGGTAGTCACCTAAACAAAGCACTACACTGCCCCTCTCTTTTTTAAGGAGCGACGTCCTCAGCGCTCCTCTTCGTACATCTCCCGCTGCGGCCATCACAACATATTCGGTAATATATGAAAGCCCCCACGAGCCAACCACGCCAGTCGACAGACAACACGAGAGAGAGGAACCGTACCTGGTCTCATCGGCAACTACAACTGCATCTTGGGTTACATTCGGTCTAACAACCAGATTCGGGTCTGCATACACCTGTTGACCATCAATTGCTTCCAGGAATAGATGGTGGAGCTCTGGTCTAAAACATATATGTTACAATGAAAGCGGCATGAGCCACTCTCCCGTATGTAAGGAGAACCGTGGTGTCATTTTCAACACCTAAACACGGATGGTTTATGGCAGTATCACTTCAGTTGTTAATATCTTGTTTGTGGAACACAGGAATAAGGTAAAACCAAATGCAGACGTCAGTCTAAATCCTTTCTTTGTGAAGGATTGAGAGAATCTCCGTCACCAAGGTAAATGCACCTCCTTCAATTCACTTCCCATTTCTCGCCTGTATCTTCATCTATTGCACTTTGATAGAGTCAAACTTCCTTCTACGTATGTATGGCTCATGATTACCGGTGCACAACGCCAGAATGCGCTTATTAAACTTGCAGTCTTGTCTGCTGGTTGCATTATAACCTTCTTGTTGCGAAAAGACTGGTTTTGACTTCCCGGCCGAGGGAACCCGATTTTGGAATATCTGCATGTATTGAACCAGTGCATCACTCGATCGAATCGTTGCTCGTCAGTTTGTTCGTACTGTTCTTTTCCGGAAATCAGCCGATTAATTGGCAGAGTTTAGCAACACGAACGTAGGATGTCAGTAAGACGGTGGTGTCTGTTGGACAATAGATTGTCCCGGATACTAGGTCGCTTTTAGCAAACAACCAACCAACAAAGAACAAGGCGCGGAGAGAGACCCACCTCGAATGTAGCAGGTCTCAAAAAGCACTTTATACCAAAGAGTCGTTAAAAAATGTTGGGTTCGCTTTCCGCTGCCACCAGTGTAGCGTTTCGAGGCTTCCCATAGGGTGGAAGAAGGCCTAAGTTAGGTTGAATGCATATATTCCGCAGACGACAGGGCAAATGGGGCCAGAGCGTAGCCCGAAGGCCAGCCCACGTATACGAGGGTCAGACGAATTCTAAAGTGACTGCCAAACGTCACATAAACAAATAATTACAGCTTTTACCATGTGACTAAGCTGCACTTCCGTCACTACGAGTAACCACGCGAGTCCCAAAGCCAAGGTGGCCATCTCCGTCCCGGGACGGTACTTAAAGAGTTTCTAAATGGTAGTCATTCGTCAGAACAACAAGTGTGACAGCAGGTCGTGATGATATGCATAGAAGCCGAAAGCGACGCAAGTGTAATGCAACGGGATCCATTGGATAATCCTTCACCACATTAAAAACGCGCTATAGAGCGCGCAGTTCGTGATTTTAAAATATGGGATCTGCCTTGCCATCTAGATTCCAGACTTGCATAGAAAACAAAAAGCACATAAAGCAAATTATTCGAGTACATGATCAAAGTTGAAGTACTAAAATTTACACATTAATTTTATAATTTACAATGGGTAACTAAAAGAAGAAATTCACCATCTATGTACAAGAGAATGATGAAGTGTATATAGTATCTAGAGCGCGCTGTAGACAACTTTCTCGTCAGGAGCTGCACTTGCTTGCACCACGGTCGGGGTTGCCACCGCCGAAACCGCAGCGCCAGACTCATCACCCCCCGATGCTGTTTGAACAAGTGGCACAGCGGAGGCATTGACAGCCGGCGTCTGAGTAAGGGCAGATACTTTGAGGCCTGCTTTTGGTGCTGAGGAGAGAGCAGAGAGGAAGTGGGGCATTGCACTGCCACCACCTCCCATCGTCATGACCTTGAAGGGGCTCTCGGCTGCACCAGCAGAGGCAGACGGCGGATGAGGCGGTGGGGGTGCAGTAGCATATGGTGCAGTGTGCATGGCAGCAGCTGCTGCGGCGGCGGCGGCAGCAGCAGCAGCAGCCGCTGCTGCCTGGTGTTGGTCTGGCACAAAAACGCCTGCAAATGTGGTTTGTGGGTGACAGCCCACCGGCAGTAGATGATACGACGTAGGGCTAGCCGCTGTGGCCGCTGAAGTTAGTGGATAATGAGCATTAGTGGTTAGAAGGAAACCAGTCCATTTTTTGATAGAATATTCGGAAATAGGGAATGGTTACCTATGAGCAATGAACAAATCGTTATGCTGTTCTAACCTTGTGGCACCAAGAAGTTGAATAATAGCAACTGAATATTCAAGAATGCTTAGCATGGCATTTTGTAAAGCAAGAGAATGAAAATTCAGAAGCCTTGAGCATAGCCACCTTCCCATCTAATAAGGTTATGATTCCTAGACCAAGCGCGTTTACATGCATAGCAGACAGTGAGTTGTGGCGGATGGTTGGAAAATAATTATGCAGCCAGTAGGCATCAAAGCGAAACTTGTCAAAATTGCCACAATATGGACACACTTGGACTGAAAATATCAAATAATATGAACTTCATCAGTATCAGAGCAACAATAATGAAGTCAGGCAATCACAAATTCAAATATGTCAAAACTATGACATTAAAAGGCAGACAAGCCCAACGTCAAGTCAAGTCAATTTCAAACTCACTTGGAGCAGACGCCAAGTAGAGCTGTTGGGGATAAGCTGCGGCAGGGGTTGCTGCTGGAGCAACTGTTTGTCCTCCAGCAAATACAAAGTGCTGCTGAGCCGACTGTTGCTGTTGGTGGTGTTGTGAAAATGGATGTTGGTTCGGCTGTGAGTGTTGCTGTGGGTGCTGCTGTGAGGAGCCTGAAGTAGCAGTAGCTGCTGCTGCTGCTGCCGCAGCAGCCGCGTGCTGATAGGCGGACCATGCGGCTGTAGGCTGCCAGGCAACCATACCTGCAGGTTGACCTGGTGCTGATTGACCCATTAGGAAGGGCTGGAAAGGAGAGCCGTAGCAAGCTGCAGCGGTGGTTCCTGGCGCTGGGGTAGCAGAAGCAGCCAAAGCTGCCTGCTGAGTACTTGCAGCGGGGACTGCAAGTGATACCATAGGAGTAGCGGTCATGAGCTGACCATTGGCGGAGACAAACATTTGGTGGGGCTGTGGATGTGTCTGGGAAGGAGCGGGTGCCTGGAAGTGAGTGGCAGGTTGCATTGCGAAGATATGTGGTGGTTGAGGAGCTGGAGCAGAGGCCTGTAGAAAGGAGGGATGGAGGGGCTGTTGAAACTGATCAGCAGATATGAATGGATTGGGTGCTGAAACAGCCTTCACTGTTGAGTTGTCCCCACCCACAGCCGACTGTTGGGGCGTCAACCCCCCAGCAGATTTCTTCTTCTTCCGAGGCGATGCTGAAAAAAATAAATGTCATCGTACTAATTTCGTCAAAGTAGCATGCCCAAAATATGAAAATATGTCCAAGTTAATAAAGAACTCGAATATTGACGGGATTTGTCAAGAAGCTGCCCACGATTCATAAGCAATTTTAAAGGAGAAGAATGTCAAACTAATTAGTGTGTTTAATAAATGAGAGCAAGAAAAAACTGTAGCCTTCTGCTCTCTAAAACAACACTGAATACAAAATCTTGGGAGAGTTCTTTAAGGCTTTAAAGGTGCCTAATTATGGCTTAATGCGCAAATGACAGAATGGACTCCAAAGGATTCAATAACTGTCTGAAAATTAATTCCGATTTACGAAAGTGGTATTTGTGAAGCCAGTGATGAGAGTTATGGAACGCTGAATTAGAATGGTAGTAGTACCATGGATAACAAGCGATGAATCATATCAAGAACCACAGATTTGTTTAGAATATTTAAATGATGGTTACAATTGGATAAATGCAATATTCGTGCATTAAGTGAGGATAAACGGACCTGCAGGTCAAAAGGGCGACCAAGTAGAAGGGTATAGGGATTCGTAGACGTCTTCAGGTGTTTATAAATATGCTTAAGGTGTTGGTTGAAAATGTTGAGCTAATTGCCTATAGCGCATGAATTTTTTTAAAGTAAATATTCGAAAGGGAAGTAGTAGATGTGCTACGATTTGAATAAAGTGATTGATCGCTACCAAAATCGCTTATTATCAGATAAACGATGAAGATTGTCTGCGAAAAATAAGAGGAAGCAGTCTATGGTTCGAGAGGAGAGGACACCAGGACTAATTAAGTTGGTGATTTTAAAAATTATGCAGCTCCCATATCCGAATCTGCCCTAAAAATTTATGGGAAGGGATAAAAAACACCTTATTCGATTTTCGACTAGCTTTTGGATTTCTTCGTCAAATTTTCCCAAAGATTGTTATTCGAAACGGGCAGAGAAGGTGCGGACGTTTTATCCCAGTCGTACACAAAAGCTGACCGTCAGCCAATTAGTACTTTGCATACAAACTGGTTTGCCAGCAGGCTAGAGGGTGAAATGGCTGACTCGAAGGTATGCCGCGTCACCCCACAGGCATCCCCTCTTCATTCTGTCCCTGTTACCTCAGTCTCTTTCCCTCTCACTCGCTTTCTCCCTCTCCGCTACCTGCATCCATCCGCCCATCCATCCCTCGCTCTTGCACGCGTTCATCTGTTCGTGTGCGTGCGTGCATCGTGCGTGCATGCGCACCGCGAAGCCAGCCCCATACACATGCAGGCGCAAAATCGATCAATTCACTCGTGCCACGCGCGTACGCACCCGACGGCCTGCCTGTCTGACCCACTAAACGGGAGAGGTAGAGGTAGAGAGAAGAGTGAGTGAGAGAGAGCGAGAGAGAGAGAACGAAACGGGGACACGCACAGAAGACGCGCAGGCGCGCAGAGAAAGAGAGGGCGGAGTGGTCGATTTGATGCGGCAGCGTCACTGTCCACGGCCTGGCTCGTGGACGGGATGTGTTCCGGCGGGGTTAGAGGAGAGGAAAGGGGGAGAGGCCCAGAGAGGGCGGTGCGAGGTAGGGAGAGACGGAGAGTGAGAGACCTCTGCCACGGAGTGAGACTTTAGGGAGTGAGAAATATGGCGCAAATGCCGTTCGCAAGCGCTGATTTGCTAACCTTTTGGAAGACACATTTACCGAAGTTTTAAAACTTCCTTTTCAAATTTGGGTAAGCTCTGTGGACTAGACATGTAGGCAAATAGAAGCGATACTTCCAGCAAATTTCTTGAAAAACCACAGTGGCATAGCGCTGCAACCGAAATTCCAGCATTTAAGTTTAGTAGATACAAGGGGTTATAAGAGAAAGTTGAAAGTGGAACAAACAGCAGTCTACTAACCTTGAAATATCTTATCAAAGGAAACGTATTCAAACAATTTGTTCAGGAATTATAGACGGCTAAGATGCATCTAATCTGATTTCTCTGTTGAGAGATAATGAGGTATGTGAGCGCAAAAACTAAATACGCCATGGAGAATGCGCAATCTGGAAGGCACAGATGGTTTGACGAGACAATTACACCTACGTTAAACAATTTCTGAGCCCAAAATTTACATACCGGACGGAACAAAAGAATTTTTTAAAGATCATAAAGCAAATTAGTTCATAAACCTTTACCCGAAGCCAAAACACCACCTTCCATCACCCTGTTCGCCTGTTCAATAGCGGCAGCAGCGGCAGCAGCAGCAGCCGCTTCTGATTTCCGTTTACGCCGACGCTCCGCTTTCCGTAGGCTCTTTGGATCCGGTGTTGTCACTCGGAACTCGGTGTAGTCGGCAAAAATGACCTCTGAATCCTCCAGATGAGGTCGCTCTCCTCTCAAATGCTCTCGTAACTTACGAAGAGCCACGAAGAAGGGCAGCTTATCTTCGGCTCTCGGTAACTGTGCGCAACGAGCACTCGAAGAAGGCATAACAAAGATGACCTAGGATTAACCAAGGAGTAAGAGACTATCTAGAATCTATAAAGCATATTAGGACTGCATCGCTTACTGTATTCGTGCCTTCAAGTGGTTCTGGCTGCTTGCCCATGCTAAAGTTTTTGTGGCCGACAAATGTTTCGTAAATTCCTGAATGAAGACAGATCGGTTTATGCGGCAACAAAGCATTTGTAAAATAACATAGAATGATAGTCCAACAAAACCAAATTCACCATGAGACACGTAAAAGAATGTTTGTTATGATGCTACAGTTCAAAAAACAGCCTACCTTTCCCGTTAAAGACAGCAATTTTTGGTTTATAGCAGCGAATTTTCTCAAGCATGGCAACAGAACCCTCCTTAACATCCTTTCGAGAAAGATCGGATGTCCCTTTTGCTGATCTGGTGCAAATATTCGTAAAACCAATTCCATATTTTAAGACGGTGGCATCATCCTTAAAATCCACAGGAACAGGAACGAGTCTCGACTCATACAAGCATGTCCCTAAACCCAATTAATGAAACCAGATAAATTGTCAGATGTACAGAAATGATTTCCCGTTCCAGCATAGTGATGGCAAATGTTTCCAGATCCCAAACTGGGATTAATGCCAATCTTAATATCATAAAACCGAAATATTTCGCTATACTACCACAACAATGTCCAGATTTTCTTTGAGATAGTCAGGAAGCATAACTCCACCGACGTTATTTCCAACTGTGTCCTTTTTCTCTGTATTTTCATTTCCATTAATATTTGAATTAGAAATTTGCGAGTTAACGCCGATTGGATGAGTAAACTGGTTTTCAGCCTTTAACGTGGGGTTGAGAGCTGACGCAGACAAAGACCTACATCTAACGTAAGAGCGTAAATTAGTTACATCGCGGCATCCTTTGTTTCAATTGAGGGCCTGTAACTTTGGATCCAAGCCATAACGTAAACTGAATAAATAAATGCACCAACGAGTTGAGACACCTCTAGGTCGAATTTTATCATCGTCAATTTTACTGTTTTCATTATGTACTATTTCGTTCTTTGTTAACGAGAAGAGGTTCGTAGCTATTATAATAAGCATGTACTTTTCTTTTTAAAAAATAGTTTGTTGTTCTGTGCATAGTTAGGACAAAGTATGGACTAATATACTTCACCACATTCTATAAATGACTTTAATGCACTAATCGTCTTACACCTCTACTACTAGCATGATTATTGGTAGCTGTAATAATTGGTTTATGTGTGTTTCTAAAGTCTGGTTGTTACGTGTAAGGTTGCCTTCGGAGAAACAAGCCGATTCCCACTCCCTTACACTGCATGCATCCAGTCCAACCTAAACCTTCTTCTACCTGGTTAGAAGTCTTAGGGCGCTAAAATGACCTATTAGCGTCATAAAAGGAAACAGAGGGTACCACTTGCATTTTTATGAATGCGCTAATATAATTCTGGATGATATGCAATTTTCCGTTGTAGCGTCTTAGTAGTTATTAACCTGAATGTCAAATACTCACAAATCCTTTTTTTAGCCCGTTGTCAAGCCTTACATTTGTTATTGTTTTTTTACGATTTCAATATTTTGTTTTGTTTTATGTGCGAATGGCGACATTCGTGTATCTGTTGCCTGGGGTAGCCTTCTGTTCGAGCTAGATCCTTGCGCCTACCTTTTCTATCTGAACACATGTATTCTTAGATACGCTTAACGCATTCTGCTACCGAACGGGAGGCCTAGGACTTTTCAGTCACACCTTGCCCATTTTCCCATACATATTTCTGTGTTTACGAATATCTATCTTATACATTTTGAAACATTAAGAACAATTTACAGAGATTTCGGCAGCATATTTCTTACAAAATAACTCATTTAACAGCATCGCTGTTCATCCAAGGCAGTAAATGTGCTGACATTCATAAGTGGAAGTAGGAAATTGGAAATTAGTTAAAAAGACACCATAAGACCAGTCCTATCATGGCGAAGAGAGAGGCTTTTAGGCCGCAGGCAACGCAGAATGGCTCATTTTCATAGGGTGGAGCACACATGGCATATTTCATAGCCTGGGCAATGAAGGTATTCTCAACTGTTGAATGGAAGAGGTAACTGAATGGGCCATTTGCATATACTGCCACATCATCACCACCATGAGTTGACCAGTTGATTGGTATGAGAGCTTGAAGCTGCGTCTCTTTGTCATTGAGGTATGTGTCGTTCATAGCTGTAACGTTTTCCCTTGTCTCATTCATTTTTGCTCCAGGTCCGGTCATGTAGCCAATTGGAAGCATACCTTTATGATCCATTGTCTAAAAGACAGAATTCAAACCATGTAGAAGTTGGTGCAATCGCAAAGCCAAGATTCCCTAGCTCTACACTTACCATCGAACCCTTTATTAAGTCCTGAGAAAAGAGAGATCTAAAGCGGCTCTGCTGGCCCACCAACTCAAAGGAATGTGAATGGTCAGCAGTGACAATAAGTAGTGTGTCTGTGAGATCCTTGTCCTGAAACACTGCATGTATAGTCCTGTTGAATGCATGCATCTCAGCAAAGGATTTCCTAGGAGGAAAACGATTGATAGATATCTTAGAAGCATTGAATAGATGTAAACCGTAATGAAAATATGGCATTTAGACTTACTTTGCGTGATTTTCGTGATGGCCCTGATCAATTCGAGCACCTTCCACGAACAAAAAGAACCCGTTGGGACTCTTTTTCAGAATTTTGATGGCAGCCAAAGTCATTTCGTAGAGACTTGGGTTGCCTGGCTTCTTGTCCAACTCATAAGGAAGGTGTGACGCACTGAGTAAACCTTTAACAAGATAAGCAAATCTTTATGTTGTATCCTTCACACGCTTTTAGAGAATTGAAAGGGAATGAAGGCTTACTTAGCGCATAATCATATTTGCCGAAGTCAGTTTCATTAAATGTTTTGGGACTATCAGCGTAGACGTAGTTGCGGCCCAATTTCTTCTGCTTTTCGACCCAAAGCTCGGCGAGGTTTACTCTATCTACCCGTTTGCCTATTTTGTCGGGTTCTGATGGCAAGCTAACTCCCTCTGGATAGAAATTCCGCTGACCTCCACCCATCATAACGTGAATGTCCGGATGCTCATTTATCAGTTGATAGGCCAAATCCGTGCAACCACAATTAGGAGCACATTTGTTGGGCAAATCTCTACAATTACAACAGAGTTTCTATGAATGCATATCAATGGCTGAAGAAAGCATTATAATCAGACTTAATCATGAGTTAGTCACAGTCTTTTTTTAAAGTTTTAATGCAAAATTTAATACTCACGAATCTGACTCCCAGTTTCGGTAAGCCACGTGACCAAAGCAACCAGAGGGGGAAGCGTGTGTGATTCTGGACGTTGTCACGATGCCTCCCCACTTTCCAACCTTCTCGGCAGCCGTGAGAGCTGATTCTGTCTTCTCGGAATCTGTGTAGAAACTGCATTGCTTTACTAGCACCGCCCCTGTAACGCCAATCATCGACGTCCTTGTCTTGGTGCCTAGTAAATGAAGTAAAGGATCGGTGAAGACATGTCCATGCTCACTTCAGCTCCACATTCCTTGAATTCAAGTGTGCACTCACCTGTGAGATAGGCGGTTGCTGATGAGGCAGAGTCAGTGACCATGGTCTCGAGATCGTAGGTTCGACAGAGTGTACCAAATTCCCAGTCTTCATATGCGTGTTTAGCGGGTATGCCACTATTATAGTTTTGATCGAATCTGGTGGCTGCTATCGTAGGAATGCCCATACCATCACCAAGGAAGAGAATGACATTTTTAGCCTTCTTGGCAGCCTTAAACCAATCAGGGAACTGTCGATTTGCCCGATCAAATTCCTTGCGTGCTAAATTCTCCCAGTATTTTGGACTTATCTCCTCTTCCTTAATTGTAAACGGGGGGTAAGGAAGAGGAACGCGAGGCAGCTCCACCTCAGCAAGAGCTACTTGCAAAAGAATGGCGTATATGAATGCCGACCCAATCATAGCGATAAGACAAATGACTTTCAACCTGTATTTATACAGACGTTTTAGGGTGGGTGGGTGGGTGTGTCGTGAGTCCACACACTGTGCTCCGATTGGTTGTCTTGATGAGCCTATGAGGGCCTGCAATTAAGCCTGGGTGATGCACCTCTTAACTAAATAATTCTTCTTAAGGTTGCCCTTTCCAGACTTGATTTAGTGGTGTCTTTTACGTTATCAAAAAAAAATGCTTAACAACATAATTTGAGGTCTTGAGGGGTTACGTTCTTTTTCCGCCTTACATAAGGCTGTTAGCGGTGTAGGTTAGTCGGGCCCGCCCAGGCGAAATGCAAAGGCGTACTTTTACAGATTTCGTAGAGACTTAGGAAGACTCAAAGATCCTTCAAGGTCAATCAGTTGTGGATTGCTGATGCAAGCTGAATGTTAGAGCCTACCCAGTGGCAGAAAAATGAATGCTGACAGAGGTTTGACAGGTTTCTCAAAAAGTTTTGAACAGGTCAGCTGGGGACTTTGAAAGCTGACACTGATTTACGTCAAACCGATTTTACTAAGCACATCAACTTGATAAAAGTGCCAGTCAAATAAAACTTCAAAGAAAGCCCTGGCAACGCATGTTAAGGTAGGACTTGACATTAATCAAAACCCGATGGAAAAGTTAAAGGGAAAAGCCCAAAATTTAAGATTATAACGGAGATGTGTTGAGGCCACTGCATAATAACATTTAGCGACTTCTCTGCTGACGATAAAAGACACACTACGGGGCCAGAATGCAGACATCTGACCTTGACTTGTGTGTTCCAAAGGCTAAACTAGTCGGGGGAGAGAACAAAAAGGAGACGCTCAAAGTGCTAATTTGCCACTCATCCTCTGTTGGCCTTCAAAAGTATCACATCTTATTCGGTGATGTGTGAAAAGATTCATTAATCCTTTGTGCTAGTCACAAATATTTATTCGTAAAAAATTAAGGAGATAATCAGTCAAAATGTCATTAGTTTGTTGTCACATCTCTTCTGCCACAGGAATTTTGCCCTTCACGAGAGGTAAAATTTTGAGACAAAGAGAGCTGTGCCTCTAATAAAGGGCAAAATAATCCTCTCCTCTTTGCCCTTCTCACATCCGAACTACTCAGCTCTGTCTAGCTAACCAGGAGGCGAGAAGGTTGGCCTTTTTCCACATTCACTGTTTGCATACAAACATGGCGGGCAGACACGAAAAGCAACTATGCCAGATGTCTCTTCATTTGCCAGTAAACTTCCTGCAGACTACAGAAGCAAAATGTTTACCAAAGGCAGACGTCAATTTTTCCCCTTCTGTTAGAAACAGCCACTGATGTTACCGTCCTCAGTACATCCACTTCCTCCACCTCTCTGAGGCTTGTCACTCAGCAGTGCGACTCACAGCAGATGTCCTTCTAACATTGGAATCGCTTCCTGTTGCCCCCAATACAACGCCCAGAAAATTGCCTAAGTGCAGAAAAAAGATTATTATCGCAATAATTTGCATAGCAGTCACGTTGGAAGGGAAGATGCAGAAGTGTAACGTCTATGTGGCCCCTTTAGCCGCATTGGAAGGTAGTCAACCATTTGTCGTTGCATTTGGCACGACATTTTATGCTTCTAAATGCGCACGATGAACTGACTATGCCACTTAAGGTATTCTATGAGTAAAGGTTCTTTATGCAGGTAAAGAAAATTTTCGCCACTGGCATTTTGCCTCTGAAGCTGTGATGTAATTGAAAAGCTCTTCTACACCACCGAGAAACTTGAATACGCATGCAAAGTGGCCTCCCATGGGCTTGACAGGGGTGTGTCACTGGAGAGGCCAGATAAAATGTCTTTGTAGCACAAACACAAATGTCATACAAGAGACCGTCAGAATTGAATTAGAGCGGCTTAAGAATTTTACCATTCAAATAGTTACTTAGTGTTTAATGCGACGACTTTAAACTTTTGGTTAGGCGTCCGCCTAGGCACCTCTACTATCGTCCCTCGGCCCGATGGACCGACCTGTGGGGCATTGCAATGGCTTCCAAATCTGCTTTCCATTTACTCTGTGTGTCCCGCACTCTCTTAAAAGTCCCAAATGACAACACGTAGATCTCTCTTTCGATTTAAACTATGATAGCTATTTGCCTCACCCAATACAGCCTTAAGATTAAACGCACTTATTCACATCCATTTTGTCAAATTTGTAGATTGAAATGCAGGCTTTAGTTTTAAATCCATTCAGCCTCTCTGTGTCGGTGGGTGCCGTTGACTTACATTGCTTTGATGCAACAGCACTCCAAGTTGCAGACGCCAATTGCTTCAAGTGGGGGCAATCAGCTACATCTATCCCTTACTTGCTGCCATGAGGGCAGAAAAATTGACTGATCTGTTTAGCGCATGGAGTTTTTTTTGCCATTCTATCAGCTACCACTTCGCCAACTCTCATTCCAGACACATTTCAGCCCCAATAATCAAGACTTTGTGTGTGAAAAAAATATCGCTTTATCGTCAATGAATGACAATTCTTCTTAATTACAAGTTGATATTCAAATGACAATGCAGTTTATGTCATCATTCAATCTATCCACATGGCGTTGGTTTCGTGTTAAAAGGCTCAGTACCGAGGGCGAACTTCATGGCTTGTGCAATCATTGTATTGTCAACAGTCACATGGAAGATGGGCGACATCGGTCCGATGGCGTAGACACCAACATCGTCACCTCCATGCGAGGCGTATGGAAGGGGCACCAAAGCCTGTTGCATGTACGTCCATGAATAGATGTCTAGGACGCCTGGATTTTTTCGAGACTCATTAATCAATCCATTGGGTCCATTCATGTAGTTCAAGCCTTGAAGTGGCATGTGGTCATTGGTCTGAAATTTGACAGTGGTGCAGGGTTTAGAAAACGTCATCCTTACTGGACACTTTGAGGAATTTGTACACTGCTAACTCACATTATTACTGTAATACTGGTCAAGACCGATTGCGCTCTGGAAGCGACCTGGTTGTCCAACCAGTTCAAAGGCATGCGAGTGGTCCGCAGTCACAATTACAAGAGTCTCCTCTAAGTTGACCGTGTTCTCAATGTAAGCGATGATTTCATCGAAGTGCTTCATCTCGTCGAGAGATCGACTAACAAAAAGAATCCAAATGCATCCATTAACCAATTTTTTAGGATTTTATTTATGTCGTTACTGGTGTGGACTTACCGGCCCTCATTATTGTGGTGGGCATGATCAATGCGACCACTTTCGATGAAAAGGAAGTAGCCATTTGGTTGGTGACTTAACACTTCTATCGCCTTACGCACGTATCCCAGAAGGTTTGGGTCGCCCCAGTCCACCATGTGGTTGAATGGCATGTGATCCGGATAGGGCAACCCTACAGCAAAAAAATCGCAAAGTAAGACTACTCCGAAGGCACACTTTAAAAGGTGAGAGGAGCCAATTGCTTACCCAAGAGGTAATCGACCTTTGAAGCATCGCATAACGCCAAGTCACTTGGTTTGCTCACAAGGCAGTATTTTTGTTTTTTGCTCTTCTGAAGATCTTCCCATTCCGTGACAAGACTTCGTCCATCCAATCTCACTCCTTTCATTTTTTTATCGGCCGGAAGTGTGACATTGTTGGGATAAAAGTTCTTTTGCCCTCCGCCTATCATAACGTTGATGTAGGGGTGGTCCTGGATCAGTTGACAGGCTAGGTCCTGGCATTTCATTTCTTGATAATTATGTGGGCAAAACTTTTTAAGGTCCCTATCACAATAAAAGAAATGACAATTATGGAACAGGCAAAAAACCAAAAGCGTCCTTGTTGAAGAAAATAACTTACGCATCACTCTCCATGTCTCGATAACTGACATGACCATAGCAACCACTGGGCGATGCATGCGTTATTCTAGTGTTTGTCATGACACCGGTTGCCTTTCCAGCATTATGAGCAGCTTCTAAAACGGATTCCGAGTAGTAAAATTTATCCCAAACACCGCACTGCTTGACACCGACCGCCCCATTAATCCCAATCATTCCAGTTCGCGTTTTCGTGCCTACACAGAAACAAGGCTTAGGTGATGAAGTAATTGCTCACCAGTCAAATAGGCAGTGGCAGAGCTGGCCGAGTCAGTGACAGAAGTTTCCAAATCGTAGGTTCGGGCCATAGTATTGTAAGGCCACTCCTCAAATGGATGCTTTTTGATTGATCCATTAAGACCGAATTGCTGAGCCGCATAAAAACGTCCTGCAGAGATGGTTGGCATTCCCATTCCATCACCGAGTAGGAGAATTACATTCTTTGCTCTTTTACCATTTTTCATCGTGGGGAACATTTGACAATCGTGTTCAAATCGTTCTTTCGCCAAATGGTACCAGTAGTCTGGGGGCCTTTCATTCGGTACAATGGGTTGTTGTGTGGTTGTTGTTGTTTCCTTTGGCGTAGTAGTTGTCGGTTCCGGAGTGGTAGTGGAAGTCGTAGGAGGCTCATTCTCATGAGTCGAATATCCATAGTTGGGTTCCTCCGTAAGTGAATCATTTTCCGTTCCCAAATTTTCAGTATTTTCCGTCTCCTCTTCTTGTGCCCTTAATGAAACTACGAAGAACGCTATCAAAACAATAGCCCTAATAGCCATCATGATTAATAAAACGTTGAGCCAGATCTAAGCGATACCCCCAAGCTTTTATACCTCACTTTGCTCAGCGCTCATTGGTAGTCACTGCCTACGGAGGCGAAATTTTGTATGTGCGTGTGTGTGCGCATGCGCGCACATGCGTGCGCCCGTGCAAGTGCATTCATTTGAAGGTCTTCGTGGGGGAGAGAGGGTGGGTTACTGACTTACGCTCCAAAAGATTTACAAAAAATCCTATCTGAATACTCGAGTCCACCACAACTCTGTCAAATTAAATCTTCCCTACTTTCCATTTTCATCATTTGTCCCGCAAATTGAAGTAGCTTGTTCCAAATTCCATGCCTTAACCAACTCAAAACTTGTTTTTATCTTTAGGACAGCATCATTATGTCAGGCTAAATGATCGCCGAACTTTTGTGTTCCACATAACTACTTTTGATTTCTACTGACATATCTAGGATAGTTAAATGCATACCAGATTTAAGCTTTATAATTGTAAAGTGTGTAAAAGTGGAGGCGACCCTTCTTAGCAGGTAAAAATGGGGCAACTAATGACTGAGCAAAAGATGATCGCCTAACTATTTCTCATAAAGGTCAGGTGAACAAACCTGCTGATTTGTTTACTATTTACAAAAAACACCTCACTTTATATTGATACAAACATTCTTTTATTAAGTGATAAGCAAGCGATGCTAAACGTTAAAAGAAGGTCTCGTAGTTACTCAGACCCTCCAATCAAAGGACATTTAATCACATCATCACTTTAACAGCAATACCCTGTGTATATTCCTATTTATTCAGAAACATAGAACATTCTAAAACACGCATTAGGTGGATTACTTTAGAAGTTCTTTGTTCAAAGAGGGCACAATTTAGGGGGTTTCGTCAGTGTACCTTTCTCAAGTGGACTACCACCTGGACCCTGCCAGTAGTTCCAAACCTGATAGTCTGTTGAGTGCGCGTACTCTCCTCACATCTCTTGTCTTCCTTCGCCTCCATGGAAGGGTGAAAATACAGGAGCAATATTACGACACCAGTGACCGGCTCTCATGGCATATTACTGAAGTCCCCAACAAGAATGATGTATGCTGAAAGTGACTTAGGAGGAATGCAGTTTAAAAAGAATTTTATTTTTAAACCCTGAGAAATCATCACTGGGATTTAAGCGATTAGATAGGTCATAAATGTGACACACCCAGGCGGTAGTCAGTGCCACCACACCTGAGCTCCAAAGCTAACGATGATGTGACTTTCTCAACGCAACAAGCTCCAACCTCTGACGTACATATGCCGGTGGATATGGTGAGGAAAATGTCGCTGCACCTCTGCTGAAGGGGTGAGGATAGCATTACCACCTCGCCTGAACTAAACACATGCTTTTAAGCATTAAACTAGGAATTTGCAAAGGGGCACGAAGCGTATGGAATTTCCATTTTTCTAATTTGTTACTAAGCATTATCAAAATTAAAATCATTCTATGCGTAACGTTATTGGAAAACCCTAAAAGAGGTTTGAACTTTCTTACAACTATACTTTAGTTGGAAGGTTTGATTGCTAACATTAGCCGCTTTGGGAAAAGTGTTTGGCTAGACTTCCCTTTAGGCACCTATTTCAGACCTTAAATAAACTTCCGCTTACATTATCACCAACGTCCTTATTCTAGACACCATCCAATGCCGTCAAGGCAAATCTTGCTATTGAAAGTTGTTCACAAACCTCTTACAAAATAAGTTGTGTTTGTTCTTCAGCAAACTTGGAGATTTAAGCTCAAAAATAATCTTAACTAAAATAAGAGCATAGCTATTCAGAATTGATAGGGATTGACATTTCGGAGTGAGAAGAGAAATTAGGTGAGTTTAGCTAACGCTATAGCAACCCCATAAAGTGAGATGCATAATTTTGCTTTTGGAAGTGGAACTGGTAGCAGTATGCTCCGTACCCCTTGCCAATCACATATTTCGATGTGTCCTCGGGTCGTCCCCTTTAACAATGATGATTATTTAGCTCGGCTAACGTTCATCATTCACCAAAAGATGTATCCCTGTTTTCGGACTTAAATAAGGAGGTTCCACGGAGTACACTGGTGAACAGAGCACAGTTAGCCCAAAAGCTATGTAACCTAATGGTTGGAAGAGGTAATCCACTTCAGTGGGACGCAATCAGCTGAAGAGGAACCGCCCCACACTTTTTGGCTCACGTTCCTAGCATTGAGACTGCAACACCCATTTCAGAAATGTGCACCCGCCCCTTGGGTGTGATGCAGTGCTACTGATGAGTGCTAAGCGGAGTATTCAAAACTGGTGGAGGCTTTATATAACGCTCCACAGGAAACTCAACCATCGTCGTGTGATGCTAATCGAAGTGTATTTGCTCCAATTCATTGCTAAAGAGCAAATGTTTTAGAGAAGCAACTGTATGTGTTCAATAAAAGTTACAGCGAAGGCTAACTTGGAAAACACAAGTGCACTCAATTTTGTGACTTGGGGCGAAACGTTCAATACTGTTGCCTATTCCACCATTTGTAACAAAAACAAAATTGGACCAACTGTCAAAACTAATTACTCGTTTCCAACGGCGATCAAGTTACAGAAGGGATTTAGAACCAATACTACAAGCAAAAAGACGAGCTAATACATTAAGCTTTCGAAACAAATGGGTGAATGTTCCATTTAATGCGTTAGTATATTCGTCTACTACTTACAATGACCTAGTAACGAGTGAGCCCAGTGATAAAATGAATGTTATACCTTCCAGCATTCTATAAACATGACCTAATAGGAGCTGAAAGAATGCTTATCGCTAAGATCCGATAGATACTTGATATACATGAGAGGTTGAAATTACTCATGGTCTATAACCCTGCCCATACGGCGTAAGTACGACGTCCCTTACGAAAAATGACTTCCACACCGCAATCAGTCCCCCCGAACAATGCCAGCACGCTATTTTCACAATGTTGCCTATTCCCCTCAATAATTCAATTTAATCTAAAGTTCCGCCCAATGTATAAGAAATCGGAATGGATGGATAGGAAAATACGCTGGTTCTAATGCACACTCATTGCTAATGGCGAAGCGCCAACCCAGAAAGTCACGCAAAACAGACTCAAAACCACCTGTCATTCCAGAATTCTTCCTTTATCCTTCCTCATCACGAGGATCTTATTTCAGAGCTGTTCAACCATATCAACTTGGGTTTTTTTTCAGCTAGTAGCGAGGTAGATGGGCCATCAACACATTGCTACGCTAGGAAATCCTGCAAGACTATTCACTGAGGAAGTATGCTAAGAATCCTCGGCGACCCTATCACCCATAGCATGTGCACCTCTTCCATAGCGCCACACCTGACTAAGGAAATGGATGCGCATCCTTTAACACCAGATTTTGTTTGATGCCTCGAGGTTTCTTAAAAGACGGAAGAAGATGCATAAACTTGAGCAGAATATATTTGACATACAATAGAGCTTTGGGATAATGGCATGATCTGGAGACCATCCTATTCAATGAAGGTGTAATAGCGAGCACCCAAAGTGATATCCTCTACCAAAACTGAAAGCATTGGGCAAACAGTAGTGGTAATAGGCGAACTAACTTAAACGCTGCTTCACTACTTGAACAGACAAGCGAACCATGTAAGAAATGGAATGACAATAATAGCGTAAATAAAGGTGTAGTTGATCTGATTGTTATCGAAATCAACAGCAATCAGAGCAACTCTTTCTTCACAATCCACGATGAAATGACGAAGGTTCCTTTGTGTCTACCATGCCATGAACGCAGATATTGCATTACACATCACCTTGACCAACGGATCTTGAATACTGAAATGAATTCATGACAAATATGGTTTTGGAGTGATAAATGTTCTTTGCAGAATGGGATCAAATTAGGCCGGCATACTACATAGCATGGACATTTGTCTTCGTTTGCATTTACTCATTATCTATGCTGACGAAACACAGCCCAAAAAATTGCCGTAATTATTGAAGTAAATATAATACATACAAGCCACAGTCATACCAGTCGAAACAGTGGAGTGATAACGCTAAATGACGGGGTAGACCGACCGATGACGTTACATGGATGCAAAACTACCAAATCGACTTGCATTTGGTGAATTCACGCTTGCCAGAGTTGCAGATGCGCACACCTTTTAACGAACACAGGAGATTCTACCGATAGAAAGGGTCAAGACAGCTTGAACAATGTAAAATGGCTTCAGAAGAGGATCAACACTTTTCATCCAAAATAAGCCCATAGAATCTCCAAGAAGCGAAAACTGAACGCTAAATATTGGGTGAATAGTCATCTCATCTAAGATATCAAGCAATTCACTCGAACTATGCACATTATCGAGAGTTAACTTAAATTTTCACCAATGCATTACATTTTTTGCGACATTTGGGTGCTTTGGACTTGTACGAAAAAATATCTGCTAAATAAGGGTTCCTACAACACACTTACTGATACCAGTCAAGCAGCTGTGATAGTAAACCTATTCATCATGCAGAGCATATCAGCACCAACACAACCATAAGCTGAACTGTCTTAAAATCCTATCAATTAATACAGCATTTACGAAAAGATGTTCTCCACATGTAATATACCGGAATTTCGCCAATGAAGCAGCAAAGAATACAAATAAATCGCACATTTTCAAGCGATTTCGAGGCCGGACAAATCTTAAACGTCAATTCGGGATAAGAGTGTTATCAAAGAAACATAAGTGGTAAAAGTGATCCGCATGTCTCTTAAGAACTTAAGTGCAAAGTATAAGTGCGAAATGATGATAAACGAATTCATTACTTTACATTAGTTCCAAAAAGATGGATCGTAATCGCTTACCCTCTCTTAGAACGGACATTGACAATGATAAAACAGTGACGAAATTCGCACTCAATGTTATTCAGAGACAACATCCGATTGCCATAGAATGCTACAGTAAGGTTTGAAGTTTAAGTCATCGTCACAGAGCAAGTCCTAAATTTGAAAAGCCTTGTTAATTCC